TAATAATGGAGCTAAATTTAAAAAAAAAAAAAAAAAAAAAAAACAAGTTTATATTTCAGTGTAACGCGTGTTATATAATAATAGTAATAATATATCACGTCTAATATTATAATGTATTAGTGTGTATACAAATAAAATAGCGTTGGTAGGCAAATTGTGGGGTCGGTTATGTTTGTTTTTTTTCTATACGTGGTTGAAGAAAACTGAACAAAGTTTCGGGCAACACACACACACGGCCGCGGTTTTTCCTCAAAATAATGGAGTTTTCCATATCCATTGATTTTTCCTAAAATTCGCATTCACGCCCGTGCAGGAAAATATTCTATTAATCCTTTCATACAGCGTCTAATAATAATAATAATAATAATAATAATATCTTCATACAAACACCGAGTCCGTGGCGCTGATGCCGGTGAATAAACCTCCTTTTCAAGATTTACCGGCCCATTTCCGGAAGAAAACTGTGGCAACAGAGCACATACATGCACACACACACAAAATACATATAAGTGTATACACTAAAATACGCACACACTAGTTGTATTTTATATTTTCTCTCTCGCCAGCGCGATTAATCTTAAACGCGTCAATTCCAAAATCCCCATAATAATATACTATAGGCTTTATAATAATAATATACTCAATCAAAAAATATACACAAACGTACAGGTATTTCTATATATTTATTTATATGTATACATAAATAATCAGTCTACCTCACAAACGGCTCAAAAATTAGTAATGTTCTTAAAAAATAACAAAAATAAAAATCAATTTTTAAATATCATGTTTATAAAATGAATTAAAAAGTTATTGACTATAGACAATTTGATGCAAATATTTCCTTGCGTATAATATGGAAATATAACAAAGAAATTGAAGAAGATTTTATAGCAAATGGATCAAACATATATTTAAGTGATTCTTATAAATTTGAGGACTCCTTGAAAATGTATTTAAATACATTTTTAATCTATTTATGGAATTTTTAATATAGTCAAAAATCAAAAGTAGTTAATGTTTTCATAGTAACTGGTAATGTAACATTTCAGAGCTATTTGTTTATTCTTTAATTAAAAAAAAAAAAAAGAGATTCCCTAGCTGTATCCTATGCATCTATCGGCTTGTTTTATGATGATGTGTTTTTTTTCTTCAATTTGTCTTCTCCATTCAGATCCTTTCTCGTAGCATTGATATTTAGTATATATTATACAAATTTAAATTCAATATAAAATCGATTTTCAACAATTGATTTCATACTTTCCAGTAGAAAAATATTATGTACTAACAAGATGTATGGAAAACAAATCGTGTACATGTCTTTTCAAAAATCGAGAGGAAATTCAAGTAACCATTTTTTTTGTAAAAACAAAAATTTGTTCGGGAGGCTATTCTCGAATAGCCTCGGGTCATATAAAAGGTCATTCAAATCACGTGTCCATATGTACATATCATAAAACATTACGGTATACGAGCACAATCTTTTATTCGAAAATAAAAATATTTCATAGTTACAGCCGATTCTTACACAGTAGTTTGAAACTTGAACCGTTCGAGAAAAATATATGTAGGTATAACACATACGATTTTGAAAAACACTACCGCCATGTATTGGCAGGTTTGATTCCATCATTGTTATTTTTTCAATATTTACAGATACGAATCGTTATTCCCGGCCATGTGTGTACACTGTACCTAGAGCGTGAACAAATAAAAATTTTACTGCGCGTAGTGCAGTTTTTTTTTTCTTTCTTCTTTTTATTTTAACCTTAAGTCGTCCGATCGCATACATATAGTTATCTTCAATATAAATATATACAGGGTGATTAATTAGGTATGCTTATCCAATTTTTAGTGGTAAATTATACATATAAAATGCAAATTCTGAATTTTGGAATTTTTGAGTGTAATTAAACACGATATTTGTGTATGTTAAAAATATTTGAAGAATATCCTGTTTGTCAATTTTGGTGTATATTCAAATGAAAACTTAAATTATAAATTTCATAAATAGATAAAGTTTTAGAAAAATTAAATGTTTGTGTTGACATTTTTGATTTCCGTCAATCCGTTGACGAGATATTCCAATTTTAAGACCAGTTTGGGGGAAAAGTAGTGTAGCGGCACGACGTGTGACATTTAATTGTCATATGAAAATCAAAAAGAGGTAGTGGTTTTATTCCGAATAATGAGGGTAAAAAAGAAATAACATAAGTTTAAAATTGTAGTGCTACTTATTTCTTAAATAGTCTATAAAACAAATGCCGACAAAAGTTAATACTTCCCGAGACAATGTATGTTTTACGATAGATTAATCACTCTGTGTAGAAGAATTAAAATCATAAATATGCGTCTACTTCATATAGTTCGCTCAGTATGCACTATATGACGAAAATAAATTCAGTTGAAAAAACATGGTAAGGTTTCATAAGAAATTTTAGATCTTGAGAATCTGTTTATGTGAAAAAGCTGAGTGCTTTACTGTCACCGTAGAGGGTAAGTACAAACTTCTTGGAATCTTTTGATTTCACGTTGGTATTTGAATTACGATGAAAATAAGATTTAAAAAAAATCTTTGTTTTCTCGACGACGAAATTATTAAATTATAACCTATGTCGTATGTGCGTCGTAATTATAATAATAGTAATGCATTAATAATATTAGTTTTGCTTCTTCTAATGTGTCGTAGTTTCTACTAGGTGTTAATTAATGAAATGTTCGTATAGTATATAATGTAAGTTTTGTAAATTCCTTTGGATTACAATTTATACGACTGACCATATTATATACGAATACAATGTATATACCAATGGACCGAACTCTGGCAGTTTTTCGGCCAATTCGTATTTTACGTAAGTTTGTGTATTCGATTTTAGTAGTTTCATCTACGTAACTTAAGAAATTGGATTATTTTTAAGCAGGTGGCGAAAAGGAAACAAAATTCATATGTAAATAAATGTTAAATAGATAGTGTTTTAGATTGTTTCCTTATGTCTATAGTTGAAATCTTTCAAAGTAGGGTAAAAAGTTTGGACAGCCAACAATTTAAATTTCACACTTGTATTCACAATTTCATCATGATTAAATCATTCATGTGAGATTGTCTTCATGCGTACAACTTTTCATTTAATAGAAAACCTAATCAGACTATGGTAAACAATTGTATTAACTTAGTAACAGCCATGGATTTGAAAAGTTTTTTTAAAAAAAAAATTAAACAATAATATTTATCACTGCACACGTATGATAGTAATGGCGTCTGATATGATTTTTTTGAGCGGTAAATTAACCAACTATTATTAAAATACTTGAGCTCCATGAAGTTAGCAGTAGTTTGGTTTAATTTCAATAATGAAAATGAAAATAATTTATAAGACTACATTATTCACTAATATAGCAATAATAGTATATAGACGGTTAACAAATATTTTAAATTTAAAACTATATTAATTATATGAATTCGATAAAAAAACAAAATCACTATACATTTAACATTTTAGAATGTGATAAAAAAAAAAGAAGAAAACGTTCAACATAGTGTGCCACTGTGAGAGTTTCCATAACACTCGTTCCTGAATTTAGATAAAAAATTGTTGAAATTAAAGCTAAAAATATTATCGGTAAGTGGGTGTGCCATGCAAGATTTAAATCAACATTTTATTTTATTTTTTTTACATAACAAAAGAACATTTATTATTACGAGTAGATAATATATTGTGATTTAAAATTTTCGTATTATATGTTTTCAACAATCTTGCGAGTAGTATCATTTCCCTTGAAAGAATTTGGCCTAATTATAAGTTTGTCACTTTCAATACTTTCGGAAGATGGACATGAATTTGACAGGTCTATTTTGATCTCATCTAATTTGTTTTTTTTTTTGTTTATTATTATTCTGAATGCAGTCAGCTAGGAACGTATTATTGTAAATATAATCTATTTTATTTATTTTTTTTTTTGTTGACAAATTGTCTACCGAAAATCTAGGTCCATTAAAACAAACAAAACATAGTTTTTTGTAGCATTTTAGATCAGGTTGGTGCATCGAAGATATCATTTCCCTCAACATTTTAATATTAATTGGATAAATATGAGAAAAACAGACAAATTTAAGGTAGTCAAAGTTTAATTTTTTTTTCAGTGTGGTTTTTTTTACCAAAATTCTTGTTCTAAATTCAAATTAGGTAAAAGGTCACTCTAAAAAAAAAATTATATCTAGCTAATACATTAGGAGGTCTGGTGAATTATCATATTTTTCTTTTTCAGTTGTATAAATAATTTGAAAAAAACGTAGGAAAGACGGGAAAGTTTATTATTTTTAATTTTTGAGCAGAATGAGAAACATGTTTTTTTTTTTTTTTTTTTTTTTTTTAACTCAGTAAAAAATAATCACAGGGACCTGATATTATCATAGAATACTNTTTTGTTTATTATTATTCTGAATGCAGTCAGCTAGGAACGTATTATTGTAAATATAATCTATTTTATTTATTTTTTTTTTTTTTTTTTAACTCAGTAAAAAATAATCACAGGGACCTGATATTATCATAGAATACTCATATTAGTCTTTTTTATACTAGGTGAAATTTTAAAAACATTATTTAGTTATTAATACACATTCTTTTAAGTTTTATTTGGTTTGTGCCGATAAAATTATTTAAAAAAAAAGAAATTATTGAAAACTTAATACAAAATTGGAATTTAACCGAACTTTGCTCAGAATGGTATTTCATTAGTAATGATTTATCGTTTTTATAGATATAAATTATGTAACCTTATTAATTCTACCTTTCCAATTTCACATTTACAACAGTAACACACCAATTGGAAATATCTTTTTCTCTCTCTTTTTTTTTAAAAATAAAGTTAAATACTTGATTAATTGATAATAGATTTCAATTACGAACATAAATTTTATACTCAGACATTTTATTCATCATGATAGAAGACTTTTCGATAAAATTCGATTCGGATAGCTAAACGTGAATACCTAATATTTAAGCGTAAAAATCGTATTAAAAAAGTATAATACTCGATGAATCATTCGTTCGTGATTTTTTATTTATAAAAAATATGAAATATCATTATACCTGAAGACAAATAATCTTTTTTAATATTATTTTAAATTCCGAGTAAAGCGAGGGATGTTTATCGTTTTTTTTTTTTTGGAATCCGGACACACTTGTTGTGGAAAGATTAATAAACGCTAATCTTTTTAGACATTACGTCGGGAGAACGGACATTTTACCCAGATGGCGTGCCAAAAGATAAAAATAAAAATGTCTCTTTATCTACAAAATGTATGTATTAAACGACCTGCAGACATCGAATTTATGTATCACTATTTTTCCCTGGAACTTTTTTAATAATAAAATGAATACTAATTTTTGCACGCATCACTTGAAATTAAAAACGTATATATATATTTGTTTTGAATTTAACATTCTTGTTTATTGTTCCACTATGTTAGATAAACTCATAAAAATGTGCAGAACGCAATTCCGGTTGATTAAATTTGTGTAGGTACAAGTTATTTTTCGACACGGGGTTTTTATGTTGAAAAACGGTCACGTGACATGACATCTTCTTAAAATTTGTACGTAGTATTATTATATTATAAAGATACGAGTATGAAAAACTTCAAAGCAGTTTTTTAATAAAATACACGCTTTCAAGTCATTTTAACCCGATAAATGAAAACAAACACTAAACACAGACGATGGTATATTAAATATTTTATTTGTGATATTTATGAAGTTCGGATATCGAAGATACAAAAAATGTCAATTTTTATGAACAGGTTAACATATTTAACAGTGTTACAAACTATTATATGGTATGTTTCATGTGTAACAAAATGTTATTTTTGAACACTGAGTTGTTTTTTTTTTTTTTTTTTTTTTTTTTTTTTTGTCTACGTTCTTTTTACTTTATACCTATACAATAACCTACGTCACTATACACACGTTGCAGTAGAATGCAGTGGCATTCATTATTCACGACGAAAAATAAAGACACGTGTATCATATACGTAATGCGTCCTATATGGTAAGTACCTATCTACATATTATCATATTACAATGTGATCTGGACGCCACGAAAAAAGGATTTATGAAAGGAAATTCGAATTTACAAGGCGACTGTTTGTGTTATCCATCGGGAACCGGAGAAGAATAAACGTCACGTGCCACTCCACCTAATTGTATTTACAAGATAAATACTATAATATTAATTATAATTATAATTAAAATAATATTAATAATATGTCCTTAGACATACAAACAATATTGTACCGTGCGTGATTGTGAACGGAAATATTACGTATACATTCCGCGTGGACGGTGACAAAGGTGCAGAAAAATCAGTGTTACGAGGACAAAAGAACGACGGCTACGACAAAGGTACGAACAAATTATAAACTCCAAAAACAATACAATAATTTATGACTTGAGTGTATGTGTATGAGTACTGTGCAATATGAAATTCAGAGTACTTTCACAGAGTATGTTATATAAATGTGTGTACTGTGTATACTCAAAATCCCGATAGTATTTCGACCATAGACCACATAATTAAGTTGACAAATAAACTGCGCATTTTTCACGACCCCCGTACATAGTGTTCACGAATAATATTGAATGAGTAGGATATCGATAGTTGGAAACAATTATGGATCTTATACTTCAATATTTTTATTACACCGTGCAGTTTATTATGAACATTGGTTTAAATGAGGGGACAGAGTACTCCATCTAATTTATGGTAAAATTATCAGTCTCCTGGAATTTAAGATTTCGAAGTTTAAGTGGTTATAATTAATGACGAGTCATATTTAACAAAATATTCAACATTCGAATTAGAATTATTAAATATAAATTCTATAATGCCTATTCGATTATACGTAATCAGACTGTGTTTCACTTTATTTTTACTGAGGTATATATATGAGATCGATAATATTTAAGAGTGGTGTGGAGTTTATTTTTAATTGTCGGTATTATTAAATATCAGTTGACCGTATTTTTGATTAAGTGCAGTCGATTCGCTTCATACATGTCTATGAATCCGACCTTTTTTGTTCTTATTACCTGGAAATAAATGCGCTTACAATCGTTCTTTACAAATATTATTGATATGATTTATTCATGGATAAATAAAATATTTAACGATAAGCTTATAATCCAAATAAGTCCTTATTTTTTAAAAAGGTAAGTTGATTTAAAACTTCATAACTAATATATTAGTATTTTGCACAAATCAGTTTGATAGTTAATGTTTTTTTATTGTTTTTAACGACTAAAAAAAGGTTAAAATGAATTTTAAAAAATTTGTCAGTTTTTATCTCAATAAATTATGGTTATCTTTTATCTATTATCAGACTTGGTTAAAAATTTTTAACAGTATTTAGAATATTTGATATGTCTATATGTACACAAAATAGATTTCTGAGTATAAATTAGAATACATTATATCATTAGTATTTTCAAAATATTCCAAATATTTTGCGAAAAATATTAGGAATACAAATTATATATACAAAAAAATGCGTTTATTGATGAGCGTGACATTTTTTTGCAAATAGAAGCTAAATGAAAATATGTGCTTTTTCAAAATCAAACCAAAAATAAAGAATGAAGGTCAAAGAGGGGTGAACTGTTGGATATTTTGTTAAATAAAGTAGCGTACTCGGTGAAAATTTCACACGTTTTAGAATAATGTGTGTAACAATCGGATTATTTTTACAAACCTAAAACATATATTGTATGAGGATATAAAAGTCACACTTTTATACTAAAACATTAAACACTCTAAATCTAAAACAGGAGTGGCAAAAGGTATTCTTTTTTTTTTTTTTTAAGGAATAAAATATTTTTTAAAGCTATTTGGAATACAGTGTTGAATTCTTCTACACAAATTATTTTTTATATATTTAATATACTTTTTTATGAATATTACCTATGTCTGTCTGTTATCATAATAATTTTAGTTTAATTCATCTTTTATCTTTGTGTAGATATAATTTCGCATAATAAATGTATCAACACTGCAAGTCTGTAAGGGTTTTTAAAGCTACAAAAAACGTACGTTTTAATTCACGTTTTTAATGGAGACCTCTAGTCCAGAGAGAGCAGCTGAAAGTGTCTAAAAGTAATCAAAATTAAACAGATATCTCTATAATAACCGTTGTTGATAGAATGTATTTTCGAAAATCTGTTTCAGTCATTTAATTTTTGTGTCCGCCCTTTCCCCTGTTTATAATGACGTACACCCCGACGGAATCTCTGGTAAAGTTTTATTGGCACGACGACAACGACGGCGGCACCCATTTAAACTGCGTAATTAACCCAAACGTTTCACGCGCCGGGGAGTGTGACGTCTAATTTAAGGGCTCAATAACACGACCGCGTAATTAAGTGAATGACGCTCGAGTTTTTTCCAGACGAAAACAGAACAAGTTTTTACTTTTATTCTTCACCAACGTTTTAATGGCGTCTCATAAAATTTTTATCAGGTTTTTAATTCGAAAACATTTTTTTTAAACTTATAACGTAATTTAATGAAAACATATAGCAATACAATACGTATTAAGATGGTGTATACTCGGAAAAACTTAATAAAAATGCTCCGAACTTTTCATGCCTTAAAATTCATTTTCAGAGGGACTTTATAGAAAGAACTTTTCGAAATTGTCTACACCTTTACCAAAAACTTATTGTTTTTTGTCAGAGTTTTTTTTTTTTTTTTTAGAAAACCAATTATTTTTTAATGCAATAGAAACGCGGGACCGTGGGAGGAATTGATAACAAATACATCCGTTTTACTTTGATAATTTGTGTTGGCTATACAAATAAATACTCGCCTCATATTTTTATAACATACTTTTATAACCATGGTTTACCGAGCTCGGTTTTTTGATTGCATTGATTTATCTTTGTTTTTTTTGTGTAATAAAAACCCAATTATCCTATATCATATCTCAGCTTTCCGCCGATATCGTGAAGTATGTCTAATTTTTTTTTTTTTTTTTAGTACTTGTTTTCATTTATTTTAATCTTTCGGGTCACGCCTTAAAAAAAAAAAAAAACTATCTATAAAGACGAACAGGTTTTCTTCTCCTATACAACCGTATAGCTTTGTATATAATTTCTATACAACTAAATAAATATTTGTCTATAACGATGATGTGCTCTAATATTCGTGATAAATATGTTTCGTTCGATTTTAATAGCTGTACATTTTGTCTAACAAGACAAAGAAAACCACATATTACAGTATAATAGTAATAAAATAAAAAAAAAAAACGACATTTTGGAAAACGGTGTACAACAGCAGAGATTCGCTTTCCTGACGTTTTCCATTATAAACCTGGGGGCCACACGACAGATGCCGTCTCTCCCGGCTCACCTCCTGTAAGCGCAATGCCTATGTTCGGAACACAATAAATTTATATTACGTATATTTTTTTTATCTTTTTCTGTTATACGTCCGTTTCGTTTCAAACTGCAGCAGGTTATATTGCTTTAGATATACTGACACACAAGATGACAGTAGTATAGTAGTATTAGAGTATGGCCTGCACCTAACGAAACTCCTCTCGCCCGAATGAAATAATATGTACGGCTCAGGGTAGTGGACCATAAGTATTTTCATGGTACAGTGTTCAAAATTACCTTGGCATACATTTATGATTCGCCATAGTTTTGATAATAGAAATATTGTAGATAAAACGTAGGTACTTAGCAAAAATATCGCCAACATTTTACTTATCCATATCACTTGGTTTTGAACAATTAAAAAAAAACTTTTTCGGAAGCTTTGAGGAATATAGCTTAGCAAAACATATTATAATAACTTCTTTGCAACACACAAAATTTAAAATATTACACAGAAAACAGCAAATTCCTTCAAAAAATATTACACGTAATATTATTATATTTTTCTCGTCGACGTTTTATTTCGAAGTAATTATGGTAATGGTTTACTCTAGAATTTTAATATCTCGTTGCTTTTAATGCGTCTATCTCGCCATTTGTTGATGAATATCACGACGTGTGAAACAATTTGAATTTCATAAAATAATAAAATAAATTAAAATTATTAAAATGGTCAATACTCGTAAATAAATATATAAATAAAAAAAATGTATCCATAGAAATAAAAAATCAATAAATCACTAAATGCGCCGTCTAGAATATTATGATAAGATGCGACCGGTTTCGATTTAAAAATTCATAATAAGGGATATTACAATCAAAGTTTCAAAGTCAAGAGTCGCATTTTACATTTTGACTGTGATATACCTGATGTTGAATTTTTAATTCACAATACTTATACAATACACTTATCATAATACTCCAGGTGAAGCATTAATTAATTAATTAATTAATATTTGTATTTCTATATATATATACATTTTTTTTAAATTTCTTTTACTATAAATTAAATTTAATAGTTAACTTCCCGTTAGAGATATCGTTTATTATATACAATTTCGTTTGACAATGTATTATATGCAAGAATATTAGGATATACTGGTACTTAGTGACATTACAATCTATCTTAAATATTGAATTTAAAATAGCAAAAATCCAATGACCAGGGGCGTGATTTCATGGATTCAGACTATACTCCTCCAGTCTTATTTTTAAAATCTTTTATTGGCCTGTACAAAATGTTATAAATGCGTTTCAAATAGTCGCTTTTATCGGAATCCACTCGTCTGAGGTGTGAGAGAGACACGAGTGATTGTTACCACGGTTTATTGTTAACTGTCAATATTGTTACCATGGAAAAATAAACATTAACGAACATATCAACAAGATAACTGTGCGCAACTAATAAAGTTTATATATTTTAATGAAAACGTAATAATAATGTCTCATAAACGAAAATATGATAAATATGTAATAGCCTATAATATGTATTCTATGTAATTTATTAAATATTAAACACATATTATAACTGTAAACAATTATTTTTGGGATATATAAAAATGTAGGTTTTTGGTAGGCGCGTAAGTAAATTGTTTAGTTTTGTCTCAACTATAAATCGATATCCGCCACTGCGGATATCGATCGACAGGAACGTAACCGCATAATTGTATTTTGATATTCACGATCCTATATATCATTGACATCGTCGACATATTATAGTAGACGCTTTTAATATTTTATTTCAAAAACTATTTAAATATAAGATTGTGCAATGTCGGTACTCACAGTATTTTTCTGTACGCCGGACAGTCGTTTTTCTCCGCTATGGACTTGAAAGCCGAATAAACAACATTGTTCTGAAACATCAAATATCGTTAAAATACTATTATTATTAGAATTTGATATTAAATAATAGTATGCGTATAAATTCCATAAAAAAAATTATATTCTAAAGAGATTCGCGTACAAATGAAAAAGAAAACAAATGTTTTGAAAAAGGATAACAACAAATAAGAGGTTAAATATCGGATCTAAATAAAATAAGGCGGATCTCAATTCGTTTGATTAATCAATCGATAGGAGGGCATTTTATAATATGGCATTCAATTCAGTTTTTAAATGTGTTCGAAGAAGTGGTGAAAAATTAAATAGTTTAAAATATAATGTGACAGTATTGTGTCTGTGACAGAATGGTGGCGGTGTTTTTCTCGACCGTTAATATGCCTGCCCCTTTCCCAAGATAAAAAACAAAATATTTTATCAGGTCGCTTCACTATGGAGTCGAGAACGATTTTACATTACGTTTATTTTAGTTACCCATAAAAAAAACATGACAATTTATCATAAAATTTAAAAAAAACTCCTGCCGATTTTGAAATATGATAGTTTATGTTTTATAAACTTTATAATATAATCTACAGAGTTTTTGCATAAAATAAGTGAATTGATTTCGTTGTAGTTATTGTATTATGAAATGAATGATATTTCGCTCTCTCTAAAAAAAAAAAAAATAAATAAATTCAATAAATAATAATAGGATTTCTTGTGATTTCAAAAAAAAAAAAAAAAGTTTTTTTTTAGAATTCCTCATAGGTCGATACATGAAGTTGTTTAGATGTATACCGAACAATGGTCGTATAATTCTACGGTTCGGAAATTCACCTACAAAATCAATTGGCTAACCCTCGAGAATATTTTTACACAATATAATATATTATGTAACACCCCGTGCAAAAATATATACGTAGTAAACTGTTAACTAATTTGGCGAACATTAATAACGACGAACGCTGGAAAGATGAAACGTATTTTAGTTTTTTTTTTTTTTTTTTTTTTTTTTTTTTTATTATTATTATTATTATTATTTCAACAATATAATAAAATGCAATGCCATACATTTCAATTGACTTCTGTTGGATTCCGAGTAAAGCGAAGAAGTCATTAGTTTCACTGCAATGTATTTTTTCTCGGAAAATACGTTTTCAGTTAGTAAAAAAAAATTGTTCAAATTGTTCACGTAGTTGCACGACCTTAAAAAGATGTACGTAATATTTCACCCGATGGAAATATTTTGTTTGAAAAATTTGTCTACCTTCACAACAGTTTTTCTTAAATAATGAAACAAATGGTTTATGGATTTTCGACTCAAAGTCGTATTCTGATCACAGTGATTAATCAATGACGATCGTTGCATTCAGTATATTAACTAAAATATCCTAAATCCTATACGATTGTTCACCTTTCCACATGAAACAGCGTCCTACGTTCGGATTTTTTATGTTCACAAATAATGAAGTTGAAATAAGTTTTTTTTTTTTTTTTTTTTTTTTTCAGTCAGTGTTGATACACCGTTATAATATTGTATGAATAAATACTATTATATACAGTAAATAATCGTAAAAACAAACAATAAAATGATTTACAATCATATACTTGCAATATGCATACATAATACGGAAGTTTGTAGCTTATAATTTATTTACAATAAGTGGAGAGAAAAACACTGGATAATAATAATATTATAAACATTATTATTTACGTTTTGTACGCGCGCGTTTCGAGAAACCCGATAGAATTTAATTAAAAACGATGTGTATAATACAAAGGCGAGTACAACAAAGTTAACGCAAAAATGAATATTGAAAAAGAACCGATACTACTGATTGGCGTGCCAAAGGTAGGATACATAACATTATTTAGTTTACATCTGTACGCAATGATAAACCATGAACGCTGACAAAATACGATTTTGAGCGAATTTCGATTAAACATTGTTTTGAAATGCAAAAACTTTAACGATTTTTATGACAGTCTGAACTTAAAACACTTTTAAGAAAAAACTACTACATAACATCAACTTTTTTTTTTCTATTGCATGCACCTTGTAATGAATCTCGTACTCTATTTTCAACAATTTTCGAAACAAAATATTAGTTGGGTATGATCATAATAGGTATCAAAGGATTTATTTATAACTTTATAATAAAATTGTAAAAGCTTTCTGGTTTTTCTGTTTCGTTAATATAAATAAAATAAATACCTGCATAGTGTATGATACGCGTTTAATTTATTTTTTGGCCACCGCATTCAAATTTAAAGATACATTTAAGATTTCACTATATAATTCAATAAAAACAAACGTATAGGTGTACACATATATTTATATATGTGTACACATACCTGAGGAATTATGAACATCACACTTGCAATCCAAAGTAATAATTTATGCAGGCGTTATAGGGATTAAAATTATACCCACATAATATTGAACATATACTTAGTGTTTTAAGTGATTTCATTGCTAATCATAATTATAATATAATGGCCGGTATCTTGGGATCTCGTGTGCATATTATAAATGTAATTTATTTAAATAGATGTTGGTACTGTAACAGGATCCAAAACATATTCTGCAATTGATCATGGACGTTTCCGAATTCCGGGCACACTACTAAACTAGGATTTTGAAATTCTATTTAGTAATAACATGTACCTATTTAAAATAACTATTAAATCCCGTAGAGCATACATAAATTTGTATATATTAAAATCCGTTAAAAATAAATGAAAACTATTGTGCTTATAATTTCATCTTTGATATTTTTTTATTGAAAAATATGTTTTTTTTTTTTTTTTTTTCGAGTCGTACATTTACCTTTAGTGGTAATAATTGTTGATTGGACTGTGTTTACTAAGATACAAATAATATAAATAACATAATAATTACTATCGAATTAAAAATGACGGACAGACTTCGCACGATGGGAAGTTCACTATTGTAGGTGAAAATTTCAAAAAGTAAAATATACAGAGGAATTTAAAGTATATCTGTAACCAATGAGTAATTATTTTTAACGAAAACCGATTCTAAACGGAGTTCAATTATACGTGTTTTAAAAGACATTATTTATTCACGATTTTTTTTCAAAATTTGATATTAATATTATTATAAAAATTAATTCTACAATACACTCAATTCTTTGTTTTTGCCGCGAAATACGAGTTATAATAATATCATGTATATTATCAGGCAATTTAGATAGTCAAAAAATATTTACTAACATATTTTTTGTGAACAAGTTATAATAATTTAAGAGCTTTAATCAAAAAAATTGGTCTTAATAGACTTTTTCGACGTCAATAATTTTAATAATAATTATTATTATTTTACAACACGTATAAAAACTCATTTAGTGTTCACGTCATCGTGTCGAACGAACCAATTCCATAAAAATCTGCAAAATGACTGATTATATTTTATCAATTTATAAAATAAACTGTTTTGCAAATAGTATGACGGTTGGACGGAAATAAAAAATTTAAAAAACCGAAATCGGTTCTAACCTAACCCGAGAAATAAGGGCTCTAAAAATTACTGAACCATAACATTTTAGAGTCGCTTGTTTGTTTTAACTGTTTAAAAAATACAAATTCCGAATAAAAAATACTTTCAGAAATAATGAACGTATTACATTACGGTTGATCACCCTTTATCAAATTATTTCGTGGTCTGCGAATTATTATTTAGATTTCAAAGTGTTCCATTAAAATAATATTACGTTCACAAGGAACTATATAATCCGTCGCCATTCTCTAAATATTAATGTATTATACATTTGCGGTTTCCATTGTCGGGATCTCTGGCCCCGTTGGCTAATCTAAACTTTACAACACTACCAAGTCGAGTTTACTTAATTAAACGTGCATTTTATGCGACGATTTGCGTGTCTTTCTCTTTCCAAAAATTCTGAATATCATCATTAGTCATTCTCCAATTAGACAAACGACGGGCACAAGAGACAATGACAACTGTCATCGTTGTTATTTTTTTTCTTTAAACCATTACATATTTTACACGTAATTATCCTTAACATCACATACCTTCCAGGAAATTGACTTGTTAGCGATACAAGAGTCGCTAAACAATGAAATGCCACGGCTGAATATAACGTTATCTTTGTCTTACTAAGACCGTATAAAGGGGGGAGGGGTTTGTTTTATCATATTATTATCACATTCAAGTTTGATTAATTTGGTTATAAATCGAAATCGATGAAAGAATAATTGTCATACCAATAATAAAAAATTCGGTTTATCAGTTAATTAAAGCAATGTTCATATGAAAATATAGCAAGTAGATCTGTATAAGGACAACTACGATGATAAGGGTTTACAAATTATGAGTACACAATATAATAATACACTGAATTTAGTAAAAGTACTTATATAATTTTTTTTTTTAATTTTTAATTTTTACAATAGGATATACCTTCTAATATAATCAGCAGTATGTTAAATGTTGGGTAATGGGTACCTTTCTTTGATTAACTAGAATACGTCATTAAAAAATACGTTATTACAATTTTTAACATACGTTTTTTTTTTTTTTTGTACCTTATACTAGGAACCAAGATAATAAATTTACCTGTCAAGGAATTTAAATATCAGCTCGTTTATGTATACAATAATTTAATTTATATGTTTAGTTTCTTTAGTTTTTTTATCGTTATTAATTTAATTTAAATTATAACAAAATAATTATACTTATTTCGATTGCGACAAATATGTGGTATTGTGAAAATATGAGAAGCGCGATTATGTTGTAATTAGGATGATAACTGATATCCAACAGGAATCTTGTATTCGGCTGCAGGCATGCAACGTTTAGCAATAAATAGAGATGGTAACATGAATGAAAAAAAAATGTATGGTATACTAGAACACTTTTATTCCGCGGGCTATATACTTCATAACAATGATTTTTAGTTAAATATACTGATACGGACAAAGCAAAACGGAAATAAAGGTAAAAAATGGCAGCTAAAACCTACGTAATATTTGTAGGTACTTTTTATTGGTATATATTTTGTAAACCGTAAAATGATTATTAATTAATACATAACTACTAAATAGATATTCGATATGCGAACTAATATAAGACTATTATGGACATTAAGATATAAAATAGGTATTTTGAATTAACCATTTTGATATTAATATCCATCATTCAGATCTTTCGGTAATTTTTAAAAAAAAAATAAAAATAAATAGAAAAATGCACTGCACGGCGGTTTTCAACAAGGATATGGGCATATTATCATCTGCTATAGTAAAATAGCATCGTATAATAATTATTGAAAATTGTTTACCTACATTATAGCAAACTAGCATATTCTTGTTAGCGAGGTATAGAAATTTCGAAGTTCAAAAATGTTTGAATTGTTTAACAAATAGTTGGTTACTTTACTATATTCAATGTCTGAAATAGCATCGCGCACACGACTAGACAACTAGCCCAATTAGTTGTTTCACTGAACACTAGCTACCAATCGCGCAAGCACGCGTAAACGGATATTCTGTTTTACTAACAGATGTTAGTATCACTAATTTACTAGTTGTTGCTGAAAACAAATCAAAATTTAAACAACCCTTTAGTTACATATTTTATGGTAACATCAAACAATTGTTTGATTTGTGTTACTGATAATATGTTTGATCGATACATCTCTTGAAACTTTAATATGCGATGTCAAAGTGCATAGGATAGGTACTTAAATTGCAAAAAACATATAAAAATCATCTCCTTCAGTAGGTATGTTATGTAAAATGATCTGATCAAATTGCGAATAAAAACAACAATATTAATATAGTAGGTAAATACAATCGTGCCATTGCCCGCAAACATACGAACATATAGAGATCATATTTTATGACTGAATTTGAACCTGTTATTTCAATAATATAATATTATATTATATAGGCTAGTATAACAAAATTATATAGTTGGCTCGTAGTCAAGATTCAAGAGACAAACGCAAATAAACGCATACCCTGTATAATAGTATGCTAATAATATGTTTATTTTACTGGGGCATGTCGTAAAATCTCGATAATAAAGACGCAGAGCCAAGTGTTCTATCTGGAAGGATAGCTCTCTGGGGTGTATAAAACAAAATATAATATAGGTATACGTAGGGCTATTTGTATATTTCGTTTAATCGATTTAATCAATTATTTTCATGGTTTTAAAATAATCGATTAATCGTTATTCTAACTAATCGATAGTAAATCAATTAAGCGGAAGTTTATTTTTTATATTTAGATAAGTAAACTAACATTTTAATAACTCTCATTATCATCGTATAGATAGGGAATACTGATATTATTAGTATAATTGACGATTGAAACAAAACACAAATACAACAACTTATCACTTTCACGTATCAAAGGTTATAATTGTATAATATTTTTCAATTAGTTCTTTTTTTGTTTGTTTATCATCATTG